CCCCCCCAGTCGCAATGCATCGTGTGAATGAGAAAATGGTGACTGGACAAACATGAATTATCAGTGTGCTCATTACGTCGTACCTGGTAGTGCCACGATGACACGGTACCATACGAGACGAGGACCGATGACTCAGAGACCTGGTCAAAGTTTAAAATGACGTCATTGGACGATACCATGCAAGCCAATACGTTTAGTGGGGCCTTCATAATACCTGTATTTTATGCAGTATTCCAAAGAATAAAATCCGGATTCTGGGGCTGTGTTTTCTTTTCCTATCTACTTCGGAGACTTCTAATTATCGTATTTTCAATGTCGAGACGATTAAATCACCAAAATGCCTTGTTTATGTGTATGTTTCACCTGCGTCATTGAAAACCGAAGACTGATAAACAATGTGTAACAATTTATTGTAAGTACTTCCTCAAAGAACGAAGCCGCTTAAAAGCTGTAAACAGAGCGCCTACAGCAGTTCCGGTTGGCATTGAATTTTCAAACTGTGATATCTTCAAGTAGTACATGTTTTGTATTTTCCTCTGTTTCCTCCAACCGAATTCCTGTACCACATATCTCACAATTGGAATACTTCACAAGGCAGGGCAGTTGTTGAATGAACGTAATGCATAACGTATTTTAAGTACGGTAGTGTATGTCATTAATTTACCCTATATGTATTTGTATGTCCGTTATTATTCTATATTGATATATCACTGAGATGCCAAGCTAAATTGTGAACCCACTAGTAAAAGTATCAGAATGTTTCAAAAATTCGAACGGAGTAAATCTAATAGTACATAACAACGCAATATTCCGTAATATGACGTCCACAACGATCAATGTAGAACATAGTTACAAGGTCCACAACAAGTCTATACAGGCACCACCTCACACAAGCTTTTACATCACAATATTTACACAACACTTTGGTCCTATGAATTGACATATAATAATGATATATAAGAGGTAAATAGTCCGTTCTGTATTTTTACGATCCCAAAGCTTATTTGATATCAGGTGGAAGCTTGTATATATGTATCAGTTTCATTCTAATAGTAAGACACATGCTTTTGTGTCTACCGTACATCTTTGTCCCACTGGGCACAGGTCACATGTTAACAGTCTTACACAATGTATGTGGATGTGTGGATGTATCGAAGGCTGGTTCTAGTTATTTATGGGCGGTACCAAAAAAAGAGATGCCTCACGTGGCTTGTTTTGGGGCTATTTCAAATGCTTCAGGTATGAAATGATTGCAAAAATGTGCTAAGATATGGCAGTAAATGTCTATATCACACAGATTTTCTTATCCAGAATATTCTATTTTTGGTTTTGCTGCCCTGAAATTGCATTGTCCTGAGGACTGCGACCCTTTACAGTAGTGTGCATGTCGTTTCGGGTCTTCTAGATTTTCCCTCTTATAGACAAGACTCAGAGGATAAGACTATACATCCTATTCTGGACTCTGCACTTGGCCCAGCAATACCAGGCCATGGCCCCAGCAATAGCGATTCCGAGTAACGCGCCCAGGACGATCAGAACCCCGTGTGTGCCCAGAGACGTCAGCCCAGGAACACCTTAAAGAGAAACATCCAATTGTGTATATAAGATATACTAGATAATCTTATACACAAGTATACATTGTCTAACGTTTCGATGACAATCAGACCAGAGTACTGCTTCTCGCTGCTATATGTAGCCGATGTAGGTGTTTGATACACATCGAAACGTAAGCTATGTGAATTTAACTTGGAATCATGCACTCGCGGACACTTATTTGCATCCAAAACATGTTAGAAGCACGTTTTAACCTTGAGTGAAGAAAAAACATTCCCGAGCTCACCCCATTAAAAGAAATACTGCCGTGCAAGAAAAAAAAAAGATTTTTTTTCCAGACGGAACCCGGAAACACAAAATGTTTCTGGCTAGGCCTTACCGGAATCCGGAAAATACTTACCATGCCCAGGCTCATAAACCTCGAACCCTTTGCCAAGATCCTGTGACCGCCCCTCCCCCTCTGTGTAAAGCAGCGCCAAAAACACCACAACAAGGAGAAAGGCTCGAAGACGAACATTTCCCGACGCCATGTCTGAAGTACAACCGAACGGAATCTGTAAAACGAAGAAACCTACAGTGAGTGTACATGTCGTTGGAAGACAGACGAAAAATGCCCTCACTATGCATGTTGTAGAAATTTACTAATAAACTGGTGGACGTACCAACTACTAAGTATCTGATACCAGCCCAGAAGAGAACAAGAAACAGTAAAGCCGAGGAAAGGAAAGTAGGAAAGTTTAGACCTGTGTTCACACCTTGTTCACGGTCAACAAACAATATGTAGGATGTTATCTTTAAATAGAAAATCAAGTTTGTCTTGTGTTTTTTGGTCTTCTCAACCGGTGTAAAATGAGAATTGCTACACAATCTCCAAGCAGGTGGCAAGATAGAATCCATTGTGAATACTCCCTTGCCACCTTGGAGACTAAGTTGTTACTTAGTATTAGGATTAAAGAAAGCATGTCCATAAAAACAGAAAATTCTAATCAGACACTGAAAAGTTATTGAGACAGTGTAAACAATCATCGGTGACTCGTGCCTTGGTGCTTTGGCTTCGGGCCAGGATTCATGACCTTGTAAACGGATTTCAGATATACTGATCAGAGACGGATGGAATTCACACACAAACATAGGCATCCACACACACACACACACACATGGGTACAGACACACACACACACGGGTACAGACACACGCAAGCTCACATGCACACACACACACACACACACACACACACACACACAAGCACACACACACACACAAGCACACGCACACACAAGCACACACAGACAGACAGACAGACACGCACACACACACACACACAAACAAGCACACACGGACAGAGAGAGACACACACGCACACACACAGACATCCACGCAAACAAACATAGGCATCCACACACACACACACATACACGCACGCGCGCGCACGCACGAACGCACGCACAGACACACACGCACGCACACGCACAGACAAACAAACATGCGCGTGCGTTGGCGGAAATACGTATAGCACCATATTTCCGCCATAATAGAACACAACATGTGCAATCCAGTTATTGTGCCGTACTTTAGTTCAAGGTTGTTCATCCTTAGTATTATTGTAGCGATATGCTTTACCGCCTCTCCGTATGTTCTCTCAGATATATCAAAACTTTTGTTTAGAAATAAATACAGACATGTCATACCTTGATAAAAAGGACCCTTTCACGGTGTTGTCAGGGGCAAAACACTTCAATATGAAAGTTGCCGAGCAGGTTCTGTCACACGGAAGTGAGATACCACCTCAGATATTAGCCACGCCGCCCCAAAGTCACATCGTGGTTGAATCGAAGCAAATTTAACTTTGAAAGTGTTCGTGTTGCAGAAAATGTTTACGACATCCAACACTGAGTAAAATTACCCAATTATACTTCTAATTATTGCACTGAATGAACGAGTCCAATATGTTCTGTAAGTCAACAACAATCTTTATTTGCATTCTCACGTTATACAAAAGCTCGCATCCTCAGTTTCTTCTAACGCTTCAGTCTCTGTCTAGTTTGACATAGAAAACAGGCAAAAACGAAGGGTCTGTTTTGGGTCATGTATAATACGGCGTGTGATCAACAAGTCCTTTAAAGGCAGACCAATTTGCAAATTGGGCGCAGAAGAACTAGTGACCGCAGCTGCCCTTTGGCAGTCTGGAGGCACAGTTTGTTGATGCAGTGAACCTTGAAGTTACCAGAAGAACAGCGACACTCGTGCCTGCGGTCACTAGTTCTTCTGCGCCCAATTTGCAAATTGGTCTGCCTTTAAAGGACTTGTTGATCACTAAGAAGACCCCATCTCAAAGTTGCGGATTACATGAATATGACTAAAACGTTAACAGCAACAATGTTAAACATATATGATTGCTGGAGAATAATATTAGTACAAACAAACATTACAATTGTAGTCGTCACGGTAAGTAGATCCCGAGTATCTATGGATACATGTAAGACGTGTGGGTATCATAGGGAATTTTATACGTATTCCTAAGGACTTTCTATATACTAGTTATGTCCTTGGTTTTCCCTAGTAACTTCCGCTAATATCGACTCCCGCTGTGTTCGGGTTTCTGGGGCAGTAGTACCGGCGCAAGACCAGGAACCCAGTAACAACAATCCCGAACACCCCCAGGACCGCGGCGACCGGAGTCACCAACCCCTTGCTCAAACTGGTCGCCCCCGGAACACCTGAAAATGAGATGAAGAATTTCAATCATAAGATTAAGAGATGTTGCCCACAGCAGTCAACACGAGAAATAGGTTGGCTCAGTTTTTGTCGAAGCTGATTCCTTAAAGCCGCATTATGTATCATTAGATAGCTTTAAACAATCTATAGAGTTAGTCAGTTAGATGTTCAAAGGTTAGGTGTAACAAGTCGTTCGGTGTTGCCAGCTGCCGCCGTGCCGCGTGCCTGCGAAGCTGGTGTGTTACGCCGAAGGGTGGTTGTACCTGCTATACAGATACAGATTAGGACGATACAAAAAGTCAATTTTCTGGTCATTTCAGATATTACAAGCTTCAGGCTTGCAAAGGAAGACATTGCTTCTATCAGCTCAGCATGTTGGACGGAGACATGAAGCGCAGAGGGCTAGGCCAAGAACTTGAAGGGAGCTCGCAAGACAGAAGACACAGTGGAAGAAGGAAGAAGGGCTGAATGCAGCTGCAGGACGTTTTTACGATGCTACAGATGCAGAATACAGTGGGTGTGATGATGTATACATCCTGACCAGAACAAACTCAGTTCTTACCTCTTTTCTCCTCGCAGTTACGCTGATTGTAACACGGCCGGGAGTCGTCCTGGTGACTTGGGTTGCAGCAGTGCTCCCGGTACCTGGTGCGGGTCTGCCGGCCTATTGTTAGACAAAAATAAGATAACTATCTACTCTATCTATAACTATTTACTGTATCTATTTACTGTATCTTTGTGACATGGACACAAATACTCAGACTCGAGCTACTGATGATGGTGGCGTACGAAGTGATAATGATATGTAATGATGTAGTGGTGGATCTTTACATGAATTCGTTTGTCAAGATATTATTGTGAAATTCTTTTTAAAAGCAAGAAGGTGGGTGGAGGATACAAACCTTCTCCACAAGTCCGTGAACAGGCACTCCAATGGGACCAGTCCCTCCACTCACACCGGCAGCACGGCTGGGTGTTACAGGACATGGTCTCACTGTCAGAGCTGGGAGAACAGCAGGAGTCACGATGTCTGCTTCGGGTCATCGTTCCTGAGATGCATCGGGATAAAATCAGCCATTACAACCAAAATGCACAGACAAAATGGCATTCAATAATGAGAATGCAACCTTTCCCTAGTTCGGAAATGGATCCTTATCTAAGAATGTCTAAATGTTCACCTTCTCCACAGGTCTTTGAGCAGACTCTCCATGGGTACCAGTTCCCCCACTCACAGGAGCAGCACGGCTGTGTGTTACAGGACATGGTCTCACTGTCAGAGCTGGGAGAACAGCAGGAGTCACGATGTCGGGTTCGAGTCATCGTTCCTGAGGTAGATTGGGATAAAATCAGCCATTACAACCAAAATGCACAGACAAAATGGCATTCAATAATGAGAATGCAACCTTTCCCAAGCTTAGAAATGGCTCCTCGTCTAGCTAAGAATGTGTAGATCTGTTCACCTTCTCCACAGGTCTTTGAGCAGACACTCCAATGGGACCAGTCCCTCCACTCACACGAGCAGCACGGCTGGGTGTTACAGGACATGGTCTCACTGTCAGAGCTGGGAGAACAGCAGGAGTCCTGATGTCGGGTTCGATTCATCGTTCCTGAGAATCATTTGGGCAAGTCTTGATCAGTATTTCAAGTCATTGTGAACGACACAGGTTATGTTGTCCTTCCTAACCATTCAAAAAACGTTAAGTGGTTGAGTTTTGCATATGTGGATATCCTAGTATCGTTGTGGTAATCCCCACTGACCAAGGTTTGTTCATAACAAAACGTGTATGCTTAATCCTAAAATTAACTGCTTTCATCATTGTTGAACTTGCTTCATAATGAATTCTACCAACACAGATGAACTTTCAAGATGCTTTTATTACCACTTTTATTATTTTGGTCGCCTCTACCAACCTACCTCCGCCACATGTGCGCGAACAGCTGCTCCAGGTGCTCCAAGGACGCCAGGTGCAGCTGCAGCAGCTGTGGGTGTTGCAGGTGCTCGACTGGGTCTCCTGGCTTGGATATCCACAGCAAGAGTTCCGAGTTCTCGTTCGATGCTGAGTTCCTAATTTAGTATATTGTCCAAACAACAAACAAGACAACTTAGATTAGGACGCATACAAGACTTCATTAGTCACATTTTTCAATTCCGCCTCGAAAATGTCTTACTGCTGACTTAACGACGTCAGGGCAAGGCAGATAAAACCACCTTTCCTCACCGTCTTTATACTTCACTGTTGTACGTGACTGTAAACAGAGGGCATTCTTGAGATAGTTGTAGTGTCGTAGTTCAAAAGTCAGCTTCTTGCTACGTACCGAAAAGGCTGTATTAAATACTCTCCAAGCAGAGGTTTTTTTTTATTATTCTGAAACATGTAATCACAAGACGTGGTGACGACACACTCAAGTTTTTTCAACTTATATTAATGCCGACACCAACACAGGGACAGTACAATACTCATTTACACCTGAGCGAAGTGAGGAAAGTCGTGTTAAGTGCCTTTCCCAAGGGCACAAGATCGGTGGCATGTCAGGACTCGAACCCGGGGCCTCTGGTTCCGAGTCGAGAACGCTGCCGCTGCGCCACACGACCCCACCGAGGTTTGGGTTTTGGGGTATTTTTAGCGTGTTTTTAGGCTTTTTTATCGGGGTTTCTTTTTTTGCACTGGAATGTTTCTTTCACCCAAACCAACAAAAAGAAAAATTCCAGTGCAAAAAAGAAACTCCGATAAAAAATCCTAAAAACACGCTAAAAAATACCCCAAAACCCAAACCTCTGCATGGAGAGTAGTATTAAATACTTCTCAGTGTTTGGCTCTGTAACAACCTGCTCGAAAATCGTAAGGCAACAGAATCATAGGACGGCATAACACGAACGTAACCGCAGAAAGACACTCGTATACTCACCCCCTCCGCACGCTTCAGAACATGTAGAATACGACCCCCAAGCACTCCAGTCGCACGAGCAATGTCTGCGGCGACGGCGGCGGAAAATACCGTCCCCTTCTGCGAGGAGCAGCGCCAAAAGGACCGCGAGAAAAACGACTCGAAGACAGACCTTTGCCCGAGCCATGTCTGAAGTACAGTGACAAACTTTCAGACGAAGAAACGGAACTACGGATCCGCGCGGAAAATCCCTCGCCTATTTTAAGATCCCTCTGAAAACACACAACATAAACATTGTGTTACCAAGGGAACCGCGAATACCTTAGGATCTTGGTATATTTTTACGTGCGACCATGTGAGACTGCACCTTTAAAACATCACCACAGCAGAACTCCACTCACTGATGGAGGGAGGACAAGGACGAGTGGAGATAGAAGAACCCATTTTTTCCCGTGTTGACATCCCCGTTCAGGCTTCAAGGTTCAAGATGACAAGAGCATATTGTGCTATGTGTTTAGAGCACGTCGGCAGAACGTACTGCACCTGCGCGAAACCCGTAATGTATTGTACATAGCACTTCGGCAGAATGTCTCATATAAGGTTGTATTCGCTCATATAAGGTTAGCATTTCGACAGTAGTTTCCAAATGTTATGTCTGAAAGAATATCCTCTGCAACAGGCAAAATTCTGATGCAACGTTGACCAAAAACCCAACGAAAAACGCGAAAATACGGGGTTCTGCGCAGGCGCAGTACGTTCTGCCGACGTGCTTGTGTTTAGTGTTATGTGTTATGTGTTATTATATAAACAAGATAAAGAACAAGTACACGTGAATAGTAAACAATATCCACCAGAACAAAGAACTGCAGCATGACACTGCGGCAATCTCCCATATTGACTTGTACCTTGGAATTTGGGCTTCAGGCCAGGATTTAAGTGACATGCGTTGGTATTCTCCTGGCCAAAGTCATCAAGTTAGAAAGACTTCGCGCTTGAGGACGTTACAAACATACGTGGAACGATAATTTTGGACGCCCCCTGAACTATGCCGCAGGCACGAGTGTGGCTGTTCATTTGGTAACTTCAAGGTTCACTGCATCAACAAAATGTGTCTCCAGACCGCCATAGGGCAGCTGCGGTTTTACCTCTGAGTAGATTTTCTGCGACCAATTTGCAAATTGGTCTGCCTTTAAAGTTATTATACGCATTAAACATCATCCATGTCAAACATATAATTTCTTATCAGCATTACACAAAGGACAAGGACAATGCGACACACACTCAAGTTACAACTTATTTTTCTATGCCACATACACAAAAAAAAACAATAATCAGTGGTGTGTACTGTACAATACAGTGCGCCCCCTCCCGTTATAACAATTTTGTAATTGACAGATACCTACTAGGAATTACTATTTGTACATAATGAGTAAGAAAATGTAGTGCTTGACTTCTGGAAGCACTTGGTGCCTTCAATATATGTTTGCTTTGATAGTAAAACTTTAATATTGTCCTCATATTATGTATTAAAATAGAACCTCTAAGTAAAAGGTGTAGTTTGGAACACGTAATTGCGGAAGAAAATTTGTGAAAACAAACTTTACAATTGTAGCATAAGTAGGTAATAGAGGCCTCAGAATCTATGGATACATGTAAGACGTGTGGGAGTCATGGGGAATTTTTTCACGTATTCCCAATGACTTTCTATATCCTTCGTATTTCCTAGTATCTCCCTCTAATATCCATCACTCTGTTCGGGTCTCTGAGGCAGTAGTACCAGACCAGGACTCCAGTGATAACAATCCCGAGCAGCGCCCCCAGGATGACCAGAGTCAACCGCTCAGGACTCGAAACACCTGAAAGATAAAAAAAATCAATCATTTATAAGAGATGTTACCAAGACGAGCAATAAGGTTTTGCTCAGTTTTTGTCGATGCTGATTTATTGAAGCCGCATTATGTATCATAGGGGGAGACAACGAGAAGAGGTGAGCAATCACCTGTTTTGTCTCCCCCTCCATCTTGTATGATAAAGTCTAATAACGAAATTAGGACGATACAAAAACTCACATGACAAGTCTCACTGTGTCAGTCTACTAAGGAAGACGAGAGTGACTGGTTGAAAGCTCTAGGTGAGAGAACGTCTTTGTGTTGTATCAAACATTTTAACTTAAAACATGTAGATATCAACACAGATGAACTTTCATGATGTCAATTTTTTGGTCATTTCTTTACAAAGTAATTTGAGCTACTCCATTGCAAATAGCTGTAATTCAGGAAGTGGATGTGCCAGACTATGGCGCTTTACAAGTGTGCTTAAAACTTGAACCACAGCTATTAGCCATGTTTGTTTACATTCTGGTAGCTTGTGGTGGCACCACAAACTGCGTGCACCTCCTGTGGGCTGTTTTAGAACCAACCATAAATGTCAGAAATGTGAGATGATTGCACAAATATGTTGAAAAGAGGGATCCTTTTGGAAAACGTTGGTACAGAAGATATGAGAACAGCCCTGCCTAAACTCATGATCTTGTATATATCCTGACCAGAACAAACTCAGTCCTTACACCACTGGTTGTTACAGGACCGGGTGTCCTCCTCGTGACTTGGGTTGCAGCAGTAGTCCCTGTACCTGGAGCGGGTCTGCAGGCCTGTTGGTAAATAAAATGAACATCTCCGAAAATGATTTCTTCAGGTTGATAGAGCATAGGATATAGGGATTTTCTTTTACACAACCACACCCAACACAATCTCTTACCTTGCTTACGTTTCGGTGTCTATCAGACACCTTCCTCAGAGCTTTTGACTGGAGTTCTTCGCCGCTAGCATATATCACGGTGCATATATGCAGCCAGTGTAGGTGGCGCTTTAGCGGCGAGAACACAATCCCAAACGTGGCTGAGTATGTACCCCCTCGTCCCGGTTCATCACTGGGGTTGACTTCCTTATCCATAGGGCTTGTGTTCTCGCCGCAAAAGCGCAACCTACATTGGCTACATAAGGCTACATGTAGAGGCGAGAATATGATTGTTTACATGTGACCTGTGCTTAGTTCACTGGGGCAAAAATGTACAATAAAAGTTTTCATTCATTCTTTTTTCTCTGCCAACTTACCCCCGCCACATGTATGTGAACAGCTGCTCCAGTGACCCCAGGAACGCCAGGTGCAGCTGCAGCAGCTGTGGGTGTTGCAGGTGTTGATCTGGGTATCCTGGCTTGGATATCCACAGCAAGAGTTTCGGGACCTGGTTCGATGCTGAGTTCCTAAATTGTCCGAACGAGACAACTAAGGTTAAGGCATGTGTAAGACCGAGTAGACAAGAAAACATTTACCGAGTAGACAAGAAAACATCACCACAGTAAGACAGCGTCAACTTCGATCCTTGGGGCATGTACTTAGAATGCCTGTGGGGGGACCATGCCGGACATATGCCATGTATGTACCGACGCACGGGAAAGGTGACACGGACGCCAGCGACTTGACTACCTGGGCTATATCCGGAATCTGTTGGGGACGCCGAGGGTGACCTGCGGCCGAGTACAATGCCAACCTGGCGGCGGATCGTCGGTCGTGGAGAAAACTGGTGGTCGACTGCTCCGCAGCCGGACGATGAGCATACATTGAATATAATCCATTTGACCTGTGCTTAGCCAAGTAGGGCAAACATGTACAAGAAAGGCCTTCATTCATTCTTATGTCGCCTCTGCCAACCTACCTCCTCCACATACACTTGAGCAGCTGCTCCAGTAGCTCCAAGGACCCCAGGTGCAGCTGCAGCAGCTGTGGGTGTTGCAGGTGCTCGACTGGGTCTGCTGGCTTGGAGAGCAGCAGGAGTTCCGGTACCTAGATCGGTACCGGGTTCCTAAATTGTCAAAAAAAACCTACTTAGACTCATGGCACATGAAAGATGGCACATGACTGAGCACATGGCACATGACTGAGCACATGGCACATGACTGAGCACATGGGACATGACTGAATACTCCATCAGTCACATCATTTCTTAAATCCGCCGTTGAAAATGTCTTACTGCTGACTTAAAGCGATATCATGTAAGATTTTTGCGCCAAAGCTTTAAATGTAAATAATCGAAATTTTCTAATCTAGATTGTCATTTTCAATAACTTTCCACATATTAGCGTCGCTATTTCGCTTTTCCAGCGACTCAGAGCAGCGCAAGAGTAATAAACGTATAAGTTTCGCCAGGCCCGCTGTTTTTTTAGGAGGCTCCTAAACAAACAGTGGTTTTGTTCGGGTATGTTCGGCAGCTTTCAACACATTTTACGGCGTAACGACGTTGATCTTTTACTCCCCAAATGTCATTATGAACCCGGGTATAGCGCAAGAAAATGCGTAAAACATCGATGTTTCAAATAGTAAAAACCTTACATAATATTTCTTTAAAGAAGTCAAGGCAAATAAAACCACCTGTCCACGACGTACTTTATTATTACTTCACTTTACCGTTGTACGTGACCGTACATGTAAACTGAGGGCATTCTTGGGATTGTTCTGCATGTTTCGTAGTTCAAAATTCTTGTTACCGAAAAGTCTGCCTTAGATCGTCAGTGGTTGCTTTTGTCACAACCTGCTTAAAATCGTAAGACGTAAGTTCGCGTGGTGTAACTGCAGGTGCTCGACTCAGAACCAAGAGGTCCCGGGTTCGAGTCCTGACATGCCACCGATCTTGTGCCTTTGGGAAAGGCATTTAACACGACTTTCCCCACTTAACTTAACTCAAGTGAAAATGAGCATTGTCCTGTCCCGTATTTGTCCTCTGCGTAGGTGGCGGCATAAAATAAGTTGAAAAAATTTTAGTGTGCCATCACCATGTGTTGTCATGAATTGTTGGAATAAAAAAAATCGTAAGGCAACAGAATCATATGAAGGTGTACGACGAACATAGCGCCTGAAAGAAACCATTACTCACCCCCGCCGCACGCCCTGGAGCATCCGGACCAAGAGCCCCAACTACCCCAGTCGCACCAGCACGAGCGACGGCGGCGACGGCGGCGCCAACCCCCCCTTCCGCGAGAAGCAGAGCCAGAAGGACCACGAGAAAAATGACGACACGAAGACAGACCTTTCCCGACGCCATGTCTGAAGTACAAGCCAACCTTTCAGACGAAGAAAATGAAACTAGAAAATTCCCCAGGCTTTGAAAGGACTCACCATAAACACCGTCACGTTACCAAGGTGACTAATAGGCATTTATTCAGCTGTGACCATGTGAGACTGCACCTTTAATTTTATTTACATCCTTGTCAGGGCCGACAAGAAACATGTAGGATATATATATATATATATATAAAATGACAAGTGCAAGAGAAATAGCAAACAATATCCACAAGAACAAAGAACTCAAACATGACACTGAAAATAGTGACTCATACCTTGGGCTTCAGGAGTCAGGCCAGGATTCAAAGCATTACTGCCATTGTAAAGTTTAGAAGTGTTTATTAAATAAAAGTAAACATTACCCAACTATACTGGCCCGGTAAATTCTCGTGCAGTGATCGCGGTGCTGTTTACGCTGTATCTGCACAGCACAATATTTTATCCACGGGGTTGTATTTAGGTGTGAAACAATGAGGAGTTCTGCTTCCAACATTGAGACAGCTGATGACTTTCTATCAGAAAGAGCTGGTCCGGACTTCCTACTTGTTCGACGTTCTGCCATGACAAACAACTATCTAATCTGTCGGATGGAAGAAGGAATGGAAGATATCTCCTTCATCGGAGGTAAACATGACTTCCCGGTGACAGCAGCAAATGTTATCACTATTATAATGCTCTACTAGTTTTCTTTATTAGTCGTTGTCAAGGCACATCATCCATTGAAAGATCGTTTTGATATCAAAACAGCTGTAATAACCGATAATCGTGTTACAATACGGAAGTAAAATATAAGGAAGGTTTTCGTCTCTATCAAAGTCACATTTTTTACACAGATTGATATTTCTCAAAATGACACAGACAACCAGTTGTACAGCGAAATTATAATTAGAAGAGATAGCAAGTCCAGCTGTAATTGTAAATTTAAACTTCAATTTGAACATTAATATGTTACAGTAACTTCAATGACGTGGTGATACGAGTGACGTTTCCTATGGTTTCACACGTATTCAGTCCTTCTGGGTGTCGGCGGTGCAGGCGTATCTTCTGAAACGGGAAAGCGCGATAATATCAGACATGATTTACATTGATCATTAGCAGGCATCGAGGGCAAAATATATGTCACAGTAGAGATGCAAATCCAGTAGAGTTGGCAACTCTACTAGTAGAGATGGGAATCCTAGTATTTATACTACTGAGTTCCAATCTCTACTAGTAGAGTTGGGAACTCTACTAGTAGAGATGGGAATTCCAGTCTCTACTAGTAGAGATGGGAATTCTGGTGTTTTTACTCCAATATCTACTAGGAGTGTTCCAGATTCTCTTACCAGACATTGGAATTCTAATCTTTTATAGGACAAATGGGAATTCTTTGAGTTAGACCAGGATATTCTCAAATTCTAGCAAGGAACAATTTTTTTTTTAAATAGACTGAACACCTAAAGTTTCAAATTTATCATATTATAAGGTAAGCCTATATACCCAGTCACTAACTAACTGGAAAAACCAGTTTAGCACATTGAGTCTCTAACTCATAATGGCCTGATGCAAATGTCTCTGTTTTACATTTCAGTGGCATGTACAAACAGCTATTGAGTGATGTTGGGTAATGATTGAGGTGTGAAAATATTCAGTCTATTTTCCAAAACATTTTTAGGTAACTAATATGACTGTGCCCTGCTAGAATTAGGTAACTAATATGACTGTGCCCTGCTAGAATTAGGTAACTAATATGACTGTGCCCTGCTAGAATCGTATAAATACGATTCCCATCTCTACTAGTAGAGATGCCAATTGGCATCTCTACTAGTAGAGTTGCCAACTCTACTGGATTTCCATCTCTACTGTGACATATACATTGAACGTTATCAACTTCAGCAAAAGTATCATAAGGATATACTTTAGACTTACTGAGTTGTAATTTTCATGCTTGAATCTCACCTGTTTGTGGATGTAACGTGTAGTGTTTCCGAGGGTCCTGCACCAGGTTCATGTAATTTATTACCCCGTACATGTCGTACTTCACCTCCACAATCTTGAAGGCTAGTGCTGCCTTCCCGAGTTGCTTGTAGACCCGGTGACTGGCACGTTGGTACGCGAGCCGTACACCCGCACCAGCGCCCTCCTCAGTAAACCTCTCGGACAGTCCGATGTTTAGAGAAGCGTCCAGGCCCCCTCGTTGTAGTTTACCAACACTTTTGGCGACGTATGCCTGAATTGGTAGGGTTAGTTTGTACATGTATAACCAAGTTTGGCGGTAGGTTGGGAGCAGTCTGGCCACGCCCACCTTTAGGCCACGCCCACCTTTCAAATCAAATTTACACCCAACCACGCCCCAACCACTGCTGATCTACTCCCAACTACAGTATGGCAGACTGGAGAATTTCATACTTTCAACAGTTGGAAGTTAAGTGAAGGTGAACATCAGTAAACACAAATCATGAACTAATTTGTATAATTCATGAGGAAATGATAGATAGGCTTCTTCGTTAAGACTGTCATTAGGTGGAGAATATGATCAACTGATATAATTCATGCAAATAACGAATGTTTGTTAGTTCAATTAGAAATATAATTCGTCAGTCGTCGAGGTTAACATCATTTGGCGAAGGTGTGAGGTCGTAGAACTCTAGTTGTCTGTGTGTGACAGGGGCTTTACGAGTGTTGCAAAATATGGCCAGTAATTTAGTCTCTGTTATTTTTGTACCCATGAGAAACCCTACCTCTGTTATGATGAAGAAGCGGTCTTTTCCCTGGATCCCTGTCGCTTCTTGGTCGAGTTTCTTCCCTCTCAACCGCATCCGAAACTGTTGCTCATCGATGGAGTACAGTCGACAATGGTTGAACCAGCGCCCCTCAAAGTTAACGGCCTCGGCCTTCAGGTCAAATTCCACAGGGGAGACCTTAGCCTGGGCCCCGCCGTCAGCAGTCCAGCCCGAGGCGATGATATCGGTGATGGCCGGGCCCCTCTTTGGCCAGTCTAGAAGATCTCCGGAGAACTGGTCGTCTGTGATCGGCGGGACTAATCTGGAGCCTATGGTACTGCCCGCATGGCTGAAGCATAAACAATGTTGAGAGCAGGGCAGTAATATTTAGACATTGTGGCGAACGTGTTGGTTATCGTGGACAAGAAAAGGGGATCTCAAAGTTATCTTGATCCAGTTTTAGCTCACCAAGTGAAGAGCTACTGTTCCACAGGTCATGACCGAGAAGGAAGCAGCTATATACATAATTTACAGGCCCTATTGTACGGGGGAAACTGCCCTAGCTCTTTTCGACAAGCAAAATGAACATTGAACCACAGCTTAATGTCCCGACATAGGGACTGCGACCCATTTTTAAAACACAGTTAGTAGCAGGCATGTCGGGTGAGCGACAACAGCCAAGATTCGCACCCTCTTGGCCCAGAGGTAGGGTCGCTAACCACTGGACTACGCACGCTAAAATTTTGACTACAATATTACATGTATATAATAATATCGACTTATAGCTTACATTTAGTTACAATATTTGTTTTATTATGATTATGACAATATTTACAACAGGTCGACTGTCATAGTTGCAAGAAGATTCATAAACCTACTAAAACGTGGAGTATGTCTAGTAACTTTATGCACCTGTATGTTACAGTATGTACCTGACTAGAACGGTTTTCCCTGTGTTGTCCGTGCCGCCGTCAGAAAGCATACTGCCGAGGCTGTAGTGGTGAGCTTTGGCAGAGTGGTGAACCAGGAGAAACTCTGGACCTAGTCGGTCTTCCAGAAGCTGAATCACGGAACCAACGCTACCCATTGTTCCTAAGTTTAAATTTCAACCCTGAACACAAAATAAAAGTCTCAGCGACCAAACAGTTTTGTAAAGACACCGTTTCCTTGTAAGGGCTAAGCACGAATTGATTTGGTGAGCATTCAGGGAGGAATAAAGTCGTTACGTGTAGCAACATAAAAGCAAATGTGACCTCAATGGCCACATATACAGAAAAAAATGGTTGTTTGTCAGCTAAACAGCAGATACAGCGTCAAATCTTACCGAATTGTTTGTTTGTTTGTTTATTTTGTGCCAACGAAGACGATCCCATCTTTAGATCATCAATGAAAAAGCCCCACTAGAGGTCTTTGAGTCAACAATATATAACGTCCAAAGTGCACAGTTATTAGCGTGGGAAATGACAAAATTGAACGTTATTACTGTTGTTACAAGGCAAAGATGGCAGAAATAATTGAATATTATTGCTGTTGTTACAAGGCAAAGAGGGCAGAAAATGGAGTAGAGAGAACTCGAGAGGCATCAACATACCTATGGATTTGGCCATGTATGATCCTGTTAGCTACTATTACTACTACTACTACTACTGCTACTGCTACTGCTACTGCTACTACTAGTACTACTGCTACTACTACTACTACTGCTGCTACTACTAGTACTACTGCTACTACTACTACTGCTGCTGCTACTACTAGTACTACTGTTACTACTACTACTACTACTACTACTACTACTACTTCTACTTGTCCTATAAGGGTGATGCGAACCTTGAACGTAAGGGTAGTTAAGGCTTATGCAACAAAAAGAAGTAAACAAAGGAATCCGCCTTGTCAAAGGCTCGAATTTCAATACACCTTACCTCCAAACAGACCCTTCGTTTACTGAGTTGATGACGACTTTGTTGCTGTGATGTCGCGGTGGCGAGACTTTCTTACCGAGAATTGTTTACCCATTGCTACGCGCGGGTCTGTTCGCGTTTAGGGGGCCAATCAAAGAGTATTGACTTTAAGGTTATTTTCACCAACAGAACACATCGTAAACTGTATTGACACAGACTATGGAGTAAAGTTTGGACTTAGTTTGTCGAAAAAAAAGAACACAGTGTGTTTTCAACCGTCTTTAATACACTGTTGTTAAAGTGTTGACTGGTTCCAAGTTAAGTGCACGAATGTTGAACCCCTCAACAAGGTACAACAAACGTAGACAACCTTTTGGCCTTGAGTCAACAAGCACGCACAAACATAGTCCGGTGACGGAAGGGTCAGAGTGGAATGTTTGCTGAATGGTAGCGATAATTATCAACTGAGCTTTGTCTCGGCTCCTGCGGCCAGTGTTGAAAACATTTTTCCTAAATATGGAAAGGCAATGCGAGTTAAGTCTAGTCGTTGTATTAAGTTTGTACCAGTTTTTAGTTGGATATGTAAGTTGATCTAAAATGAGTTGTATTAAGTTATTTTACACTATTGCTTATTATATGTCATGTATATGTTCTTCTACTTTCTCTAAAGTTTCCCTCTCAGATCTATCACCCTGTCCCGATCCCAGACAAGCTTGTACCGGACCAAAGACGCGACCAGACCAACTCCAGCCAACACACCCAGGATGGTCAGGACCAGACGTTCCCTGTTCCAAAACGTGGACTTCGTACCGACTGAAAATTAAAAATAAAAATCAGTATGGTTGGATCGACTATGACAAAAGTTGTTGAGGTTCTTATCGAAAGGAAATTCACCACAAGGTAGCTACTCTACGTCGTCATAATCTGTATGTACTTTTATTCTTGTGTATAGAAGAGCGGCCTACTCCCGTGCTTCACACATTCATGATGAGTGTGCAAAGCACCACCTCTAAACCTAACTCTCATACCAATTCTAGGATTCTAGATAACTCGATCCTTGTCATTGAATTTTCTGGAAAGATTTAAACAAAACAAAGCGAGGCAAAGCATGTACGAAAAATCTAAGTCTCCGAACACAACCTAGGTGTGGAACAGTTCCTAATCATCGATATACAGATAAACTCTACACTGATACCTTGGTTATCACAATAGTTATGACAGGAGCGGGTGTCGACATGATGACTTGGGAAGCAGCACGGCTGACTGTACCTGGTCCGTGTCTGTGTTCCTATACAAAACGGTACAATGTCTCATTAGTCTAGTAGTCATTGATGATGACTACTATAGATGACTACTACAATGAGAATGGGGGTTACCATGCAAATTTCCCCTAGTTTGAATCGTGTCAAGAACCAATAGGACCTGGGGTCGATTCCACCGACACACTACATGCCCTGATATTGTGCTCTTAGGAAACGCAATTTACACAACTTTCCTCACTTCACTCATGTGAAAATGAGTACTATATTTATCTTAATCTAGGGACGTCCGTTAAATGGAGGCTTCGTGTTTGCAATTGGTGAGAGCGACACCACACCTTTCACAAACATTTTACTACAACGTTGACAGCGGAGCGCTTAGAGATGAGAATGCTGTGGTTTACTAGATGTTCACCTTCTCCACACGTCTGTGAACAGGAGCTCCATGGGTACCAGTCCCCCCACTCACACGAGCAGCATGACTGTGTGTTACAGGACATGGTCTCACTGTCAGAGCTGGGAGAACAGCAGGAGTCCCGATGTCTGCTTCGAGTCATAGTTCCTGAGGAACCAGATCAACCATTACAACCAATATGAACAAAGGGGTCTTTGCCATTTTACATTTACTTAGGGATGACTCTGAGATCAAAATTATACATTTTCTCACGAATTTACAGTACTGTGAACAACGACCAATTGGCATCATTATAAAAATGTCTGTCTTTGACAACTAGAGGCTGCAAATTCGACGTAATTAATTGATTAAATCATTTTTAGATTCGCATTATAGGCAGTTACAGGTATATGATATACATAATGAGGTAAAAGTTTAGCTATTGGTGATAGACAATAAAGATATGAGATTTGTAGGCAGATTTGAACTACGCGCCTTTAAGTTGCAACCTTAACACAATACCTCCGCCACATGTACGTGAACAGCTGCTCCAGTGGCCCCAGGACCTCCAGGTGCAGCTGCAGCAGCTGTGTGTGTTGCAGGTGCCAATCTGGGAGTCGTAGTTAGGAAAGCAGCAATGACTGCGGTATCTGAACCGCAAACGAGTTCCTGTATATGAAGCAAAAACATAAATGGTCAAAAGAACTGTTCTGCAATTCAAAGGTGACTGGGTATACTTAAAGTGTTAACGAGAAGAATAGAATGAATGACTGACTGAATGACTGACTGAATGAATGACTGAATGAATGACTGACTGAATGGATGAATGAAAGTAACTCACGTTTGGGCTCAATAATAGCTCATTAATATTACTATTCAAGAAATAATAACTTTTCCCTGTTATATCGCACGTGTAACGTGGATAGGCAATGATAACCAAAAACTAGTACTGTTTGCAAATAAAAAAGCCATTATAAGGAATATCAGTTTTGTTACCTCCATCACACCCCTGTGAACAGCTTGTCCAGGAGCCCCATAACCCCCATGGACAGCTGCACCGGTTGCTGCGGGACCCCTCCACCGCCCCCATAACCGACAACACAACGAGCGCAGCGCCACAGAACTTTTCACCGGCCATTTCTGAATAACATTTGATAAAAAACATCAAGTCAAGTTTCAGAGACAAAGAAACCAATAAAATCTCGGAGTTTTGCTAGGCATAATGAGATCGGACTGCTAAAAAGGTAGAGATCCATAAGTTTTTAAAATGTCGCACATATATATGCAACCGTTGTGTATGTGGATCCACTGAAGAGAGTGTATGGTGTCTTGGATACACTTAATGTTTCTTCTTAACGCACGGAAATATTTTTGAATAGTGTAAGAGCAATATATTCAGTGTGCCAAAAACACATGAAGAGAAGCCGAAAGTCAAGCTCTAAAGATAAAACATTATTTCAGGTTTCTATAGCATGGAAAGAAACTTAACTCACCCAGGCCTTGTCAGATGCTGATGCAGACAGAACAAATTCAACGTGTCTCCGCAAACTAGCCTTCAGTACCAATGTCGTGAACAACCACCACACAGGCTTAATCAACGGGAATAAATTTGAAGTTGTCACACTATATGCACTTTTTGTACACCTGTAGCAGTCCATTGCAATGAATTATTTAGACATATTCACCAAGGTACGCGTAATCTATGTATTTGATGCAGACGGTTTCTCTGGAAAGTACAAAATAATCTGTGCCATAAAAGGCAATACCCGTTATTATTTCCCACCGCCAATGTAATGGTATGATATTATACCTTGTATATTCATGCAAGCGTGAAACAATTTAGTAACCTAAAGGCACGTGACCAATGCAACATCATATCGGAGGGTTCTTTTTATACCACAAGTCCTTCGATATTGGGCCAGGTGAATACACCAAGGTCAGAACTTATGTGTAACTGAGAACTCAGCCGCCATGTTGGGGGACTGGAGGATCCAAGATGGCTACCGTAAAGTCATTGTGTAGTCTTCTGCTCTCAAGATTCTGGCAGAATATGGACATTTCTTCATTACTGTTTTTGATCAAAAATGTTGTTTCTATGGATATTTTCCATTTCATACGAGTCTGTAATCTAACTAATCATGCAACTCTATTTGACTTTCTATCAAATTTATAGACTTGGTGCTTTACGTATGTCCATGAATGAAAAAAAACTGAGTTCAGAACTTATACTGATTGTTTTATTTTCAAATGTTAGTACTTTGCATACAGGTTCATTTTCTTCACCTTGCCATGTTCTACAAATTTACATAGTCTTACTGCCTACTACTAGTATATTCAATAGAAAATTTGTAGAGCTCTTAACCGCAATATTTCTCTTTAAAGTAAGAACATAAAAGTCCTATTATCGGAATAATCAAGTCCAGAAATATTCAGGGAGTCGAACTGAAACATAGTTTTACACGAGTTTGAGAAAGCAGTTGGGCCCCAATTGCTAGTGGTCTCTTCCAGATATCACTGATATGACATGCCTTTCTGGACTGGTTCACTTCCAAAGATAGGGGTGTTACATTGAGGCTATACTTTAGAAAGAAATACTGCATTTATCATTCATAACTCTTTGCAAAAATGTAAGATTTCTGATTATAGTACAATGCACCTGCTTTGACGTAAATATTGACATAATACAGAAGGGAGGGAAAAATTATCTTACCAGAAATATCTTACTACTAAACTATGAAAACCCCACCTGAAAAAAAGTGTCATCAAATAATGCAAATGTTGACATCTTCTCTCAAATCATGTAGGTGCTTAGTAATGTTGCATCACACATTATACATTTGTACAGGTAATATTTCTGCACATATCTAACATAGCTCTCTCTCTTTTTCGTAAAATCTTTTTATGGGGAAATTTGCCAGCAAATATTTGGAAAGGATTCGTCCGGAAAATTTTGCTAAGACTCAAGCACATACTGCCCTATTTAACCTTTTTTTCTAAAACCTACTCATAGTGCCAAATGGTATCATTACAGTGTTGCCTCACAATATTGTTTTTCATGCTGATAAATGCAATATATTCAGCGTAACAGCATCTTAAAACAGTATTCATATAGGAAACAATTCAACCACCCATAGCTCCACTGAATTCCAACATAAATTATGTTAATACAACTGATATATCCTGACCACCCTTTTAATCAAATGGATTGCTCCTCATAAATTAGGGGACCCAACAAGTAGGACTGTACCACTTTTAAAGGGGTAGGATGCATTGTGATGTAAGTACCTATTGGCAAATATGTTGTACTTTATCTCAAGTGTTTTGCTACAATAAGAGCTTCAACATAGCTGTAGGGTTGTGCCACTGGAAACACGGGTATGCTGGGGTACCTTAATTCAAAGATGTTTACTTATACTAATACATTTACGTTTTTGTGTAGTACATTTGATTGGAAAAATAAAGGAACAGACAGTGGCTGAATATCAGCCTCAGAAAACTACAGCTACCAACCCTATTGACTTCAACCCAAAATTACTTTCCCCCCTCTAAGCCAAGTTGCACTGTCCAAACCCTGCAGCAATAACATCTGATTCTGGACTGTTCTATTGTAAATAATGGGGGCTTTCCTAGACAGATACTAGGGCAGTAACTAGGTATACATGTGGCCATAGCTATTCAATTCTGGGTATCCCATCATTTTAGAGAGAAAACATAATTGTATTTTTGTCACCAACTATGCTTGAATAATATGGTAGTGTCATGTAACTTGAAATAAGACAGATAATACCAAGTTCTCACCCATAACTGTACATATATAAGGTCACTTTGTCCATATGCCTTTTTACAGTATACACCTCTAGTTATAACAACGTACTCTACACAGGCAATCCTTGTAAAGGAACAGTCCATTGAAATAGCATTACAACATTGTGTATAAGAACCTTGGTAAGAACTTAAGATACCCAAAGACAATGCAGAAATATTGAAACTTATGTGCACATATGTCACCTTTCTTATGACAGCCAAAGCGGTGAGATATGAACAAAAAAAACAACACTTGTAACATTTACATGCATGTCTCTTGTTTAAAAAAAAAGAAAAAAAAAGTATTGCTTATTTCTATAACTGCCTACTAAGAACATAACAACAACAGGTATCATGAAAGTTCATCTGTATTGGTAATTACATGTTTAGAGTTAAAACTTTTGTTCCAACACATGAAATATTGTTCCCACCAAAAGCTTTTGACCAGTAACTCTCGTCTTCCTCAGTAGACTGACCCAGTGACCCAGTGTTGATGTCAGACTTCAGAAAAGCCATGTGACAAGTCTCACTGGGTCAGTCTATTGAAGAAGACCAGAGCGACTGGTCAAAAGCTCTAGGTGACAACAATGTCTCTTGTGTTGGAAGAAAAGTTTTAACTTAAACAACAACAGTAAGTCTCTATGTTAGCGGACATCTCATAATGCCAACTCATTGGACGGTCCCTTTGCAAGCACGTGATGATGCTGTCCCCAGAATTGAGATGGCATGGCCCGACCGACAAACAACGCAAGGATTGACAACAACTCTTCGTTAGTTCTAAACTCAATGTCTTGCCTTTACATTCTACTGTCTATTCGTTCCTCAGTCATAAGGATTTTTACCCTGAACATTGGAGTATTTGTGATAGTATCTTCAGCTGTGTTAATCCTTGTTTTGTCGGCCCATGCCTAACTGCAGGCTGCAGGTTAAGTGTCAGGTGCTAGGCGGCGCTGCTATCACCGTTTGGGTGGGGGAGGGGGAACTCCTCTTTGTCTTGTTGCTAGAGTAAAAACAAAAAACATTAGATGCGTGAAACGAGAAGTATAAACATCAGAATCTATTGAATCATGTCAGGAACAAAATACAAACTTAAGGCCTACTTTTTTTTTATGACAGAAAACAACTCACAAAATTTCTTCACATCAAGCAGTCTGTATCTGTATCTGTATAGCCTGTATAACTGCCCTTTGGTGTAACACACCAGCTTCGCAGGTACGCGGCGCAGTAGCAGCTGACTACATTACACCGATCTACTTGTTACACCTAACCCTTGAACATTTAACTATAAACATTGTTTAAAGCTATCTAATGACAATGCGACCACTGTACTTGGTGACAGCGAGTTCCACTCAGTCTAAAGACACCCAAGCCAATTACTGCTTTTAATTTGCTAACGACTTTTCATACCAACTTCCTGATTAGTTCCCTATATACTTGCAAACAAGTACACATGTCATTGACATGTCATGTCTACCTGATTTGTTTTTTATCTTGCTAGGGTACGTCTTGTTGGTTTTCTCGAAGGGTGGCGGAGTAGGCAGACTTGTCGGGAAGGTGAACCTTGCTTCAAATTCATCTGTAGCACAAACAAACAAACAACAAACAAAGAAAAGCATGTCAGAAGGTGTGTCAGAAGAATCTTCATCCCGTATGAAGCAATCTGACCATCTAAGTCATGCATTTGTAACGTTAGACCAACACTAGTGGCAACCCCTGCATAAGGACCACCTGGGTTTGCTGGTTTAAGTACTACTACAATAAATAACATATCTGGTACATTTATCATTCATACCTAAAATAATTAATATTTGGCACGTTTTGGCAGAGATCTAGCACATTTTAGCTGAAAATAGCAACAGAATGCTCTTTACAAAATTATGTCTGAAAGGCTGCAACATAAAATACATGTAAGAAATGGGACGCAACATACATGTTTTATTAAAGGATTATCGATTTTGCAGGTATGTACCAAAACATTCATACAGTCTGAAGTAAGATCTAGCAACACTTTGACACTTTTGTCCTTTTCGAACACACTTACATGAATCATTTTACCAGAAACAAACCAAGTTGTTAAAAAGAACTTGGAAACTTGTCAAACACCCAAATCTATGGCTATATTCTATATTCTTATTCCAGGGTTTACAAAGTCCATGGATAGGCTTCCGCTTCTGTTAGAGATAACAATCAAAACAGCAAAAATGTCATAGATCAATTAAATGTTGTTGGCATGCAGATGTCAGCACAGCACTACTACTCGCAAACACAACATGTGAGTGACAATGAAAACCAATACGGTTTGCCATATGTACGCAACAAAATGCCACCGCAATGCAACCATTATTTGGAATTAAAACCTACACGTACTTGAGCTGGTAAGTGAAAACCTCTTGGCATGTACTAGAAGGAAAAGAAAATGTTACGACATACTGTGCAAAGTATGAAAGTATGTGTAAATATCACATCCCCGTACAGTGACAGACATACAACATGCAACAGTGTTAAGAAGGTGTAATGCTGAACAAAACAGCAAGAGGGCACTTTAGAGCAGACCACATAGCTGTGGATGGAGGGTGGAGCAAAGCAAAGGGTTTAGAACAGAAGACAGCCCCGAGGGTTGGATACTCACAGTTCATATCATAGAAGCCATACATTTTATACCATGTCCACCTATACCCAGCTACGTGTGGGGTGAGTCCAGGAAAGCCACAAGAAAGAAAGGAACAGAGACATACAATGTACATGTTTAGACCGTGAAGGTGGAAGCACACATGTGGAGAAAAGCAGAACAACAAAGAGGTTACATGGAGGGTATCACATGAAGAAAAATACTAAAAGTATGTTCAGACATTTTACAGTTTGAAGCTCTAAGGCACATATATACCATAAAGATACTGTACAAAATTTTTATTTATTCCAAAAGCTGTAGTCTTTTAGTCACCTTTGCATCAAATGATGTTACCCTTTAAAACTAGCTAGATGGTCTAGAGAGAGAGCCTAGAAACACCCTATCTTTAAAGAAAGACAAGCAAGCAGATTAAAACATCTGTATCATTCTGTCTCCAGAGCATAGAAATTTTACATGTGAATATAAGATATAGATGTGCAACATAATGGCCAGAATAAGAAAAGAAACAACTAGTACATCACAGAAATACATTGACACACAGAAACACAGACTTGACAGAATATCTGTTAGGAGATTTGTTAAATGATCATCACTATTTTGATCTAAAGGAGTTACATGTGCATGTATTATAGTAATAGATGAATATGGACAATGACAATGCATGAGCACATTGTAACATCTATGTTCCTTGGCATACTTTTATTTTTTACAGATAATAAGATAAGCACATAAACATTACAAAATTTTCACAAGATACTAACTTTAAACCTTTGGTGTTTTGGACCCTCACCTGTTAGATCACTTTTCTGAGGCACTCCAGGCATGGAAATCCTAGGCCCATTTCTTGTGGGAGGGGGAGGGGGTGGTGCTCCGCTAGGCCCCCTCGTGGGTGGGGGAGGGGGTCGGCCCCTGCCAGGGGGTGGGGGAGGGGGTCCCTGTGTATCCCTGTGAAGTAGAAAACATGGAACATGATCTTGATCCAGTTTTAAATCACTGAAGAGCTAATCTTCCACTGGTCGTAACAGAGAAGACAGACGCTATGTACAGTATTTACAGGTTTATTGTACTCTGGAATTCCCCTAGCTCTTTTTGACAAGTACTACATCCTGTGCTAAGGACAGTGGCCCTTTATAGCAGCGTGCATGTTGAGTGAGTGACAACAGAGGCAAGGTCTCTAAATATCGGACTACACATGCTTCTCCATACAAGTTACAAAGCTCAGAATATTCATAATACAGATGTACACAGACTAACAACAGCTCATTTCTATTACAAGTCCCAAGGAAAAAAAATGAGTATGGCTTAAAGTGAAGATTCAGAACAATATCCTGATGACTCACCTAAATGATGCAGATCTATGGGGAGGTGGGGGAGGGGGTCTTTGGCCAGGGGGACCTCCTGGAGGTGGAGGGGGTGGCCCTCCTCTTGTGGGAGGGGGTGGGGGGCCACGTGGTCTTGCACTGCTTGGTGGTGGAGGGGGTTTACTCTGCTGTGGAACAGGGGGTCTGGTCATTTGTGGGGGAGGGGGTCTTGTCATTTGTGGGGTAGGGGGTCTTGTCATTTGTGGTGGAGGGGGTCTTGTCATTTGCGGGGTAGGGTGTCTTGTCATTTGTGGGGGAGGGGGTCTGGGACCACGAATACCAGGGGGTGGTGGAGGAGGGGGTCCTTGCGTCGAACTGGGCCCGTTCATTCTAGGGGGGTAGGTGGACGGTGGAGGGGGTGGCCGAACCATCTGTGGGGGTCCTTTTGAAGGTGGTGGTGGCCTCATTCTTTGAGGGGGTCCTAAAAAAGGAGGAAGACCATCTTCAAAACACACATGACCAGCTCTAGCTGAACTTAGCCAAACCCACCCTACATGTACATTTCATTTTCAATGTGAAATGTGAAATTGAGAAAATTTGGTGTCCCTAAGCAAAACGTTGTAACAACACGGACAAAATCCTTAAAGACAATGACAAACTTTACAAAACACAATAAAAGTGAATAGATGAGCTGCTCTTTGCTTCACGTTTTGACTACTACAAACTTGGTGCACGTTAAATCAAGAAGAAACTTTTAATTCCTTTTCAATCATTATTATAGTTTCATGATTATCATTTCTTACGTTTGGAAGGAAGAGGGATTTGTACAAGCCTTGAAGGCTTCTTACCCCATCCTGTTTTTACTTTTATACAATTCTTTAGTAATCATGTTTATTTTTATTGTGCAAATAAATAAACAAACAAAACCTACCCGGTCTTGGCCCTCCTACTGACGCTGACGCTGGTCTCCCTGGTGGTGGAGGGGGTGGTCTGTTCCCGAAGGGGGGTGCAGCTCTTACCCCTGCTGGAGCAGAGGGGGGTCTCTGTTGACCTGAGGGGGGTCTTGGTTTATTGGAGCTAGAGGGGGGTGGCGGGGGTACGTTCCTGTTACTGGGTGGAGGGGGTGGGGGTTGGGAGTTGTTGGGGGTGTGGCGTGGGACAGTGTTGTTGTTAGTTTGACTGGGCATGGCGCGGGGAACAGTGCCCACGTTGTTTGCTGTGTTGTTGTTGCTCCGACCGGCAAATCTGTTGTTGGGACTCGGGCTGCGTTTGTTGTTTTCTGTGTTTAGGTTGCCACCTGGACATAGAAAATACACGGAAAATTCATACAAACTTCTATATATGTTATTCTATTCAGACAACATTGGCAGGACCAGACATTAAGAATTTTTTTTATTCCTTGGTACTTCCTACACACCTACAACTTTTTTTCTATTTCACAAAAATGAAAAACTGACACAGCAACACCAAATTAGGGGAAAAAAACATTACAAACACATAAACTACTTGTACAGCCCTGGAAATAATTCATTATGTTCAGCATGCATTCACAATCACAGTAAGCACTGTACAACAGTCAGAGGTGTGGAGGTTAGTGAGCCTTACCTATAGTGTAATATTTATACCTATGAAGGACTGGTGTTGGGGTGAGAGCAGAGAAAGATGTTAAGAGTTAGCAGGTGTAAAAAAAAGTATCTACATGTGATTAGATGGGGAAGCAAAACTGCATTCTTGTGCTTTTCTGTATCAAGATTTAAGTTATTATCTATTCACCCTTAATGAAAAGCTTCTGTACTCTTTACCATATAATATTCCCTTTGAATCAGTGTCTTTTACTGTCATATAAGTTCATCTGTGTTGGTAGTTACATGTTTAAAGTTAAAACTTTTGCTCCAAAACAACAAGGATCAACATCGTTTACCAGATACCTTTGACCCAGTGTTGCTGTCACACTTCAGAGAAGCCATGTGACAAGTCTCACTGAGTCAGTCTATTGTATTGAGGAAGACCAGAGTGACTGGTCGAAAGCTCTAGGTGAGAACTCCTTTTTGTGTTGGAGCAAAAGTTTTAACTTTAAACATCAATGTCTTTTTTCTGTTATATCGTAACATTACTTCCTGAACTGAAAGACAGCACTGTGCAAAGAAAAAAGTAGGTGATGTATATAGACTGTACATGTATGTATGTATGACATATGTAAGGACATACAAATGTAGTATGTTAATACTAACCAAACACCTATGGACAGTTTTTAAAAGAGACAAAAGTTAGCTGATGCAACCCTACTGTACAGATAGTCTAAAACTCTCCAACACTATATCTATTCCATACTATCATAACTATGATTGTTTTAGGTAAACTATAGGATTTTAGCATATTCACAGTACCAGTTTTGCAACACAAAAGTACAAAAAAGTTCAAGAAATGCAGCCTTTTACCTCCATCTTGCCTGAGTCCTGTGGATTTCAACTTGGGCATTCCTCCAGCAAAAAGGCCACCAAGGCCCAAGGGAGCCCCTCCCCCTCCCTCCTCCCCCTCCTCCTCTGTCTCCTCCCCCTCCAGGTCTGACTCCCCCTCCCCCTCCTCCTCCTCCTCCTCCTGATGAGGTTTTTCCTGTGATGGGAGTCAAAGGTCAGGTGGCATGTCAAAGGTCACTAAGTTTCAAAGGTCAGTTAAAATGCGTCATGGGAAGAACTCTCTTCTTTTCTTATCTTCAGCTGAGGCGAAACAAGTACGTTATTTTTCATTGGATGTTTAGTCAACATTGCCTCAGAATTTTGCCTGTTGATAATTGCAGAGGAAATCTTTTCCGACAGAACATTTAAAAACTATAAACAGAATGTCATCCTTACTATACGAATACATCAAAGAGCACTACATAATATATCACAGGTTTCACGCATTGCCTACATGCCAGTGAAACATGTATTAGTGAAATGCAACTTCGCTAAGGTGACAGTCTGACCAGTTACTTGCTTTAACTAGAAAGCACTATGCCAGTGATGAACAATTTCGATGACTTAGCTGTACATTGTGCTTCTACAAAGATTACTTGAAGCATTCCGAAGTACTAAGTACAAACTCACCGCTTAATAAAGGTCCACTCCTGTCATTGGTTTCTGCTTTTTTCAACTTGTTTTTCTTGAATGCCTCTATAGAGGACAGGAGTTGCCCTCTGTCCTTCTGTTCACCTTTGTTGAGCTTTGGTGGCGCTGTGTTGAACGCGGGAGGGGGTGGGGGGGCCCGGGGGTGGGGGTGGTGGTGGTGGCGGCATGTTGGGAACCTCGTGTCCCTAAGGCAGTCTCTTTAGTCTGCCACCTGCCCCACTATTAGTTTGGCTGAACCTGGGAAATAAAGAACAAGAAAAACAGTGAGTCAGATCACATCACCTCAATTTTAGGTTCAGGTCCGGATTCAAGTCCAGAGGTTTAGGTTCAGGTCCGGACTTGTAAGTCCGGACCTACATTTGTAAACCCATGACATAATACAAAACTGCATGTTGGCAACCTTGCAATGTTCTCTGGGTGAAACTTTGGCCACATAACATGGAGGACGGTACTTGACGATGCCCGATGGCAATGTTTTCTTCATTTTGCAGCAAAGATTTTGCAATCTATGGAAGGTTTTAGGTGGTTTGGAAAGAAAAGGGGTATGTGAAATTGTCTTTTATGGTAATAAGTCCGGACTCGGTTCTTGACTTTTAGGTTTTTTTGGACTTGAACCTAAACATTCTTACAAGTCCGGATTCAAGTCCAGTGAACCGGTATGCATCACTACGTGTGATACATGTGATGTACACTACACTGCTATATATTATTACTGAGAATGACAGTAGAACATGCCTGCATTCACCATTTTCATTGGATATTTGGTCAATGTTGCAACAGAATTTCAACCATTGCTTGCAGAGATCTTCTCTGACAAAACATATGAATACTAGACATGGGATGTCATCCTTAAATACAAGACAAGAAGTTCTGTCAAAGTGCTATGCACATTGGGATTCACACAGGTGCAGTATGTTCTGCCAACATGCTTACTTCATGTACAATATTATGTATATACAAGACTCGAAATGACACCCTGCAACTTGCAACATACCGTATTTATTCCAATAGCGTACGCACTTTTTTAACTTTTCATGTCGCAAGCAGGTGTTCCAGACCAAGGCCAAAGTCGGGGTGCGTACGTTAAAGGGGGTTCTGTCCCCAAAAAATCGGAAAGAGATCGGAGCCAGCAAGGGAGCCGGCCTCACAATGTGTCCAGAAGTACTTGCTACGCACCACTCCGAAGAATAGTTCATGTTATACTTCAAATAAGAGGTTAAAAATGTCCCTGTTCAAATAAAGACATATTTTATACCTTGAGTAAGTAAGTGTGATATGAGAAAATAAAATACGATGTAGCATGATTTATTTAGAAATATAATTTTTACAAGTATCGTAAGCTGACTCGGTGCACCATCCGCCATGTTACCGGTAAGTTGGCCGCTTTTCCCGATGAATAATACAGCTGAAATGCCAGCACATCCACAAATAATTTGATCAAATACTTAATTGCTGCGATCTAAATTGTTACAGGGTTCTCTTAAGCGGGAGTTGTTTATTGTTTTGATTGGTAAAATGCAGGGTAAAATACGCTAAAATCTAGCGTGGGTATTAAAAAGAAAACCCACGCCGCGGTCCACACTTCCGGGTTAAGTGACGACAAAATCACGTCGAAAACGCTAAAAATCCGCTTAGAAACATATATTTACCCCATAGATTCTTGAAACTATGCATTTCTTCACTAGAATATCGATGTGTGGTTGTGGAAAATAGCATTTTAGCGCCGATATCGAACAAAGAAAAATTGTTTACACGCGCGTCGGCCAGCTCAAGTCTACCGCCAGCAGCGCCGGCGGCTGACGCAGCAACCAATCAGAGATGCGAAATGCCGACACGTGACGCGGGATTTGCATACAGTCTAGGGCGCGCGGTGCACGAAATATTTTTGCGTCAATATTCAGCGCCGTGTTTCAAGAGATTAATACCGGGAAACAATATACAGGAAATATTTTTCACTGTAGCGATATGTAATGCAAACCTTTTCCACGGCGCTGTGTGCCTGATGATCTTCCCCGGCATCTACGTTCTGCTGCGATCACTTACCTTTGGATGTTATCCTGCCTGTTCACATACTTACCGGAAGTGAAATTTGGTGGCGCTAACTGTCGTCTTGACGTTGGATTCTACCTAAAATACTGCACAGACACTTTAAAAAAATCCCTTTAAGCAAGCACTAGCATAGGGATACGTCTATAAAGCTTATTGTTTATTTCAATTTCCTTGCGATCCACGGAAAATTCTGAATAAGGGGTGCGTACGTTAATGGGGTTTTTCATTTGAATCTTTCGGCTCCCAGTGCAAGGCCTGCGATCGGCCCCAGATCGGGGGTGCGTACGTTAATAGAGATGCGTACGCTATTGGAATAAATACGGTACATAGAGATTTTGAATATTCCACTGAGAAATCTATACAACTTACAATTTTGTAGGCTAAAAATACAAAGTCTTGACATTACAAATCAAAACTGTAAAGGGAAAAAGTATTTCAAGCCCTGATATACAAATGTGAAGAAAATTACATGAAGAAATCTGGTGACACGGAGTGTTCCTGTTTTTACAAAAGTTGTGAATAAGGCATTGATAGTGACTAATCTAAAAATTGCTTGTTTTGTGTACGTAGCCAGACATACTTAGGTACAAAGGGTTGTTTTGCGTCATAATACATAACAGAAATCTATGATTAGAATGGAATCTGGAAAGACTTCAAAGACATTACATGCATGCACATACAAAAATGTAATTAAAGCTACAGGCATCCTCCTTAAGCATTTGGGAAACAAAGGTACGACAACTACCTTCTGAAGAAGTAGAAGGAAAATATCCATACTGTACATAAATTCTAGAACATTCAGTATAAAAAATAAGCTCACACATGACAAAAACTACCATGCTTAGCCTTTAACTCAAGACAATTACTAGGCTTCATCATTCTTTGTGCACATAAAAGAAACTTGTAAATTCTGCATGTACTTCTTGTACATGCAGAATTAGAAGCCAGATATCGAGAAATACTTTTATCTAGGGCGGCTAAGGTATGAACATTTTTCAGCGAGAGTGCATTCACAGTGTATACTAGGAAGACAAACTATGTTTCTCTGGACCACAGCCAGAGTGAGGCCTGGAGACCTAGACTACCCCAGGTGTCATACACAGCTGACACTTGACAAATAACTGACGTACACTCTGTCTTTGTCAATGGTACAAGTCACATGCATCTATTGTACTACTGTTATTGGGTTTGTACAGAAATGTGCCAAAACGTCAACCATTACTGATGTAGGTCACTCACACCAAGGCAAAAGACAGCTGGCATCTGTATGTAATACATAACTATAAATGTACTTCAAAAAACAAGTACATAGATGATAGAGGGTTTGAAATACCATCTACATACACAGGTTAGCACAGGTAAAACTGGAGCTATGCAGGTGTTTCTGATGTCTATCTGCACCTAACCCGTACAGGTTCATGTAGTACTGGTTTTATTTGCTGCATTAACTGTTACTACCTACGAAATAATGGCAATGGTTTCTGAACTGTTTATAGTATGATCTTATTCTATACCACATTCTGAGTGGTGCAGGTAAAATTTGTCTGGTGGACATAATTTTCAGTGTTAACTGCACCAGTGCGGGTACATGTATACAGAAAAAATGTATATTGATGTATTAATCTAGAAATGGAGAAACACATATAGGTTACTGTATCATTTCTGTCAACAGATAACAATCAAAATACCTCACTAACAATAGGCCACGTGTATCATTTTGAAAGGCAATTTGTCAAAACTATACTAAATACATCAGAAAAGTGTACAGAGTAGCTAGTACATAGTTCCTCTTTAGACTGTACTGCCAATTTGAACAACAACTCTAGTCTAGGTAGTGTTTTATCTTGAGCGTGTGTCACAAAAACATATACTTCTCTGTTAACAGTATGAAATTAAAAGGAACAGGTTTTGTCAATAGTGATGGTAAAAATCATTAGCAAATCAATATACATTTCTACATGCGATTTTGGAAAGGGACAAAAACAGTTTAAGATTTACAGGGGGGGTGGGTATGTGTTCTGCTTTCTATACAAATATTTTTACAGCTCCACTTAAAACACCAGACCAATCAGTTGTACAATAACATCGAATTTGCATAGTGACAGTATGGTAAAATATTCCTTCCATCGCAGATTGCATATCGTGTCTTGTTTACGTTATATGATAATGTGTGCATTTTTCCTTGTGCCAGAAATGTTTATGAATATGAACTCCTGGCACAAAACATTTAAGATTAATATGTATACAGAAGCAATGCATGTAAAAACATTTGTATATGTATGTTTTCAAAATATTGTGCTGTGGGTTTTATATACATGTAATAGTATTAATGTATCTGTGGAAAACACATAGAAACTGAGCAATAGATTTTTCAGTTATTCAAATTATATATCTGTGATAGACTGAATGAAATCAAAATAGAAGTTTAGAACACTGCTCATTCTAATCATCCAAAATTAGTCATAACATAGATGTGATTTGTAATACACATAATATTGAGGTGTTCTTGCTTTCTTTTCCCAGAGGAATAGGTTCTGTTCCTACATTGTCCCATAATATCATCTGACAAAACAAACAGTTCACCAATCCGTGTTAGAAGGTTCCTTTTTTTTCCGTACTTCAAAAGAATAATGCATCATAAAATCATACATACATTTATGCTGTACTTGAATGGACTACAATGTTCAATTAACCAAACTATTACTAGATTCTCAATAAAAACTGTTCAGAGCATATTGGCAGAATGATCTAGAAAATATTTTTGACTTCTGTAAGAAAAACACCTTTGTACTTTCAGTTTCAAACAGTGACAAACTGATCTTTTGAGCTTTGTTTTGTACACAGTATATCACACCCACACTGCACATACCTAACAAAAGCCTGCTTCTTCTGTATACAACCTTTCTGACATAGAAACAACATCCTCTTTTTCACCAATACAGTCAGAACTTCCCAACTCTATGTGGACTATAGATTCTGAATGGGAAATTGTCAATGGGAAAAATTATCTAAATTCAAAGATCACAAAAATGGTCACATTGGCCAGGTAGTCCTTACATAGAGATTGACACGGGTTTCACTAGTGTTGAGTAGAACATTTCAAAGGTACTGCAGGTTAGTGCAGGTAAAATTGGAGCTATGTACATATAGGTGTTTCTGAATCTACGTGCACCTAACCTGCATC